CATGGGGAAGGGCTGACCCAGCCTCTCGGGAGGGTAGGCTTAGGCCCAGAAAAAAAGTCCTGGCGCCCTGATCTCTTTCTGCTCACTGGGGCCTGGCTCACTCTGGTGGTCAAGAGCCTCTTTTGTCCGGGAATCTCACCCCCTCCCTGAACTCCATTTCATCCCAGTGGGCCTAGGACAGCAAACTTGCTCTTCTTTTTTCAGCCTTCTCATCCTTTTAAGTTGCAGCAGGCTGGGCAGTGAGTCAGGCAGGCGAAACCCACCTGAGCCGTGCTGCTCCCCTGTGCCGCCCGCCCCTTCCAGCAACCCAGGTAGTAGGCTTGAAGGGCTTGTGCTGTGGAAAACCTGTCTCTTTAGCTTTTGTAATTTTCTCAAGTTTACATTAGCAACCAAAAAGAGTGTACAGATGTGGAAAGCTCACTCTGCTTACTACCCTCTTCCATCAAAGGAGGGGTGGGATTCAGAGACTCCTCAGCCTCATACTGAAATGTAGGTGTCCGTGAGGGCTGCTTTACCACAGGTGTGATCCTGACCTGGCCAGGCTGCCTATATCCTATTGCTTTGTCATTGGAAGGGCAGGTAAATGTGGTTCAGAGCCAAGCAAGGGATGCCAGGCTGGGTCTGCTTTGACCCTCCAGTTTCTCTCTCAAAACCGGTCCAGGATTATTGCTTTCATGTGCGTTTTCTTTCCTGGAGTGTTTCATTCATTCTTTCAAGAAACTACTAGGTAACAGATACTATGCTAAGCTCTTGGAAAGCAAAAGGCATATTTGCTCAAGCAGCTAATAATACAGTAAGAGAGAAAGACAGGTAAGGAAGTAAATAACTTACAGCAATGGTTCTCAAACTTAAGTATGCATCAGAATCACCTGGAGGGCAGAATGTCTGATTCAGTAGGTCTGGGGTGGAGCCAAGAATCTGCATTTCTACCAGACTCCCGGGTGATGCTGATGCTGATGCTGTTGGTCAGGGGACCACATTTTGAGAAACGTTGACTCACGGGACACTGCACTGTGGGGGCTGTAGTGCAGCTGTGAAGACAGGGTTTGGCAGCATGGAGGAGGGAGTAAATAGCTCCACTTGGTTTATTTAGCTTTTTTGCCTGTGATTTTACCTGTTATATTTCCTGGGTGAGCTTTTTCTGCACTTGAGGACTCCATTGGCACTCCACAGTACTTTGGGCACTGAAGTCCATGTCAGTCCAGAGCCTTTTTTGTTCCATCCCAGTTGTTTCATTGTTCCTTGTTTCTTTCCCCTGCTCCAGCTACTCATTGACCTCCCTCCCTCTCTCAGACGGGTTTCCAGGAGCTGCAGGAATGAGTTCAGGCTTCAGAGATTTTGAAGAGGAGCTTTAAAAACTGGTCCCTGAGTGAGAGCAGCTGTAAGAGCGGTTTTCAAACTGTTTCCTCTGGAACCCTGGTGTGTACCGTGGGGACTAGCACAGGCGTCCAGGTCCTCCAGCCGTCACCCACCACCACACCAAGTCAACCAAAGTAGATACACTTTTATTAAAAAGCGTTTCTGGAGGGCCAGCCCCGTGGCTTATCCGTTAAGTGTGCGTGCTCCGCTGCTGGCGGCCCGGCTTCGGATCCCGGGCGCACACCAACTTACTGCTTCTCCAGCCATGCAGAGGCTGCATCCCACATACAGCAACTAGAAGGACGTGCAACTATGACATACAACTATCTACTGGGGCTTTGGGGGAAAAATAAATAAATAAATAAATAAAATTTTTTAAAAAAAAGGGTTTCTGGAAAAAATAAGTTTGAAGAAAGGGTTTCACTGCTTTTATTTTTAACTTTGAAAATTACTGCTCTGTAACATTTGCTCTGGTTTGAGCCTCCTTTTGCTCAGTTTTTTTGGTGTGTGTGACAAATACTGCAAGGATTGGGAAATTTTAGATCCAGTTCCTGTGGATATTTCCTCAGTTCCTTTAACAAAGAAAACTGGTATATCTTTAAACAACTTTTAGAATTTTCTGTTGAGTACTATTCAATACAACAAAAATTATTACACACTAAAGGCCAGTCTCAGAGCTGGCCCAGGGTTGCAGACTTGAGTAAGACCCAGATCCTGCCTTCCTGGGTTCTGACTGGCCCACTCTTGAAAATTTGTTGTTAGAAATCATCCTCACTGCCCTCTCCTAGTACTCACCAGCACAGGTTATTAGAAATCATCCTCGCTGCCCTCTCCCAGTGCTCACCAGCACGGCACGTCTCCACTGACGCATTTTGAGCTCATCCTTCTCCTGGCCAACCCCGGCGTGCTGCATGTCTCTTGACATTTACAGTAACTCCTGATTCCTTCACAAGGGGAGAAGGAAGAGATGACGAGAAGTATCGAGGGATTTATCAAGTATTAGGTTCACCCTAATCTCTTTTAGGCCTCTGTTTCACTATCTGACTATACTGTTACTCTGCAGCTTTGGGTTTAGGGAATTTGGAAGCAAATCCCCCATTCTGCTGTGCTAGGTGTTGTGCAAATGTTAATCAGTGAATTGTCTCTGAACATCAGTACAGACCCCATGGAAAATAAAGCTCTAGGATAAAAATGTGGAAATGTCTGGAAATCATAAATTCCATCAGTCAGGAGAGATTCAAACCCTGACTCCACCTTATCTCCATCATCTCTTTAGGATTGGACATCTTAAAAGACATACTCATTGCATTTTTAAAACTTTCTAAAGGAAGCACCCATTGATCAGGCAATACCACCCCCCCCCACCCCCGTATCGGGTTCCTGTCAGGCAGCAGGATGAGGAGGACTGCTGCAGGCCAAGCGCGTCTCCAGTGGAGGGGTTGATAGTCCTCTGCTGTCACAGTGGGGCTGGACAAGCATGGGCTAAGAAATTAGTGTGCTGGGTCTTGAGACTCTCTTGGCCTTTAAAAAGACACAGAATGTCTTAAAATAGCATGGTAGCTGAAATAACAATAACAACAACAACAATAATAGCTTGCCATTCCTGAGAATGGTTGTTTGTTTAAAATCTGAGGCATTAGTTCTGGCAGCAGTTAGTTTCCACGAGCTGGGCTCCCACAAGAGTTGCTCTAATGGAAATCATATGGTGTCATCATGACAGGAAACATGGGGATCTGTTCAGCATTCTCTCAACCCTTCTGTAAGGAATTTCCTTACAGAAACTACAGACACCTACACAGCCTAGAACTGGAAGTAGGTGTTCTTCCTGATCATTTTTTTTTTTTCCCCTTTTTCTCCCCAAAGCCCCAGTAGATAGTTGTATGTCATAGTTGCACATCCTTCTAGTTGTTGTATGTGGGACGCCACCTCAGCATGGCCGGACAAGCAGTGCCTCAGTGCACGCCCAGGATCCGAACCCGGGCCGCCAGTAGCGGAGCACGCACACTTAACCGCTAAGCCACGGGGCTGGCCCCCTTCCTGATCATTTTAAAGAGGCTTATGATGCTACTGTTTCCCTATCCAAATAATAACTGTCAGTCCACTCTTTTGGCATAGGCTCTCCAGCCTAGACGTACAAGCCGTCTGTATTCCCATCACCAGGTCCTGAGGAGGTCATTTTAACTGCCTTGTTGAGAGAGGGAGTCGGGGAGGTCGGCCAGCCACAGTATATCACACTGCATTGTTGGGGTGCCCAAGCTGCCCTCCGAGTGGATAGTCCTCAGTCAGCTCTGGACTCCCTCGCATCCTGTCAGAAGCTCTTGCCGTGCTGGCCAGCGGTGGAAAGCCTCAGCTCCACAGGCTCCCAGAGGCTCAGCTGCTTTCTGATTGCTCCCTAGATCAGTCCCCACATCACACTCAGCAAAGCACGTGTCTGTTTCTGGCCCCCTCCAATACTGAAAGCCCTGCCCAGAGCCAGAGTTTGGGGAGCTGGGGAGGATGAGGGAGATGACGAATGAGCTGGCCGGGAGTGGCTTCTTAGATGGTGGGAAGGAGTGAAGTGACTCTGTTGACCTTGGGTCACATGCGCTGTAGACTTCTGCAAAGTCCTGCCTGGCAGAGTCACTAATGGCTTTTTTGAGTCACCTTTTGCTGACTCCCTCAGCAGTCCTGGGCAGCATCCTTGGCCTACTTGATTTCAGGTTTTGACAGGTGATAAAAACGCATATTGAGATTGCTGCTTCACAAGGTCCAGATTCCTAACTATTGACTGATGTTATTTTTGCCTTTGCTGAGAAGCTCCCTCATGTGTTTGCTGTTACTTTAATGGATTGCTTCCTGATACATTCTGAGGCCTGGGCACCTGCCCTTCAATCTGGCAACCTGCAGCTTACCCTGAATGGGATTGGAGCTGCACGAGGAACATTTAGACCAGTCGCTTGGCAACATGACTCACTTTTTTTTCCCTAGAAAATGTAATCAATGTAAAAAAGCAACTATGTTCATTCTTATTTGCATCTTTGTGGAGCTTAACTTTAATCAGGACCCCGAAGGCTTTTCACTTTCATTCTCTGAATTTTTAACATCTTAAATGCCCTGTAGGCACAGTATCTGGCCCTGTGCTTCTGAAGGCTAAAGGGAAAATGCTTGACGATCGTGATTTTTTTGTCAATAGTAATTATACTGATAAACGGAAAAGTCCTACAGTTCTTGTCTGTTGGGGTCCTGCCAGGAAGCCGTTGTTCTCCCGCAGGCTCTGCGGTGGGTTTTCATGCGCTATCTCCTACCAGTTACTTTGCTTCTTCTTTTCCTCAAAGGGCTACATTTGCTGTTTTGTGCAGGAAATCCCCACTGGTTTTGGTTCCCCAGCTACAGTTGGAAAGACATCAGAGTGTCCAAAGAGGAGTCCGGGCCTGAGATCTCAGCAGGCCAGACAGGCGGCAGATGCTTGTTGCTTTTTTTCATTTTGTATTTACCATTTCCTTGCTTAGCGTTTGGGGGACCAAAGCCAACAGGTTATTAAAAGAATGAGAGTAATTTGACTTCTGACATTGATTGGGGCTTGGGGTTATTGAGTGTTTTGTTTCTGATGTGAAACCAGCTGTTTGGTAACCACTAACTCTTCCCTTATTCTTTTCTTGCAGATGAGCTCACAGTGCCTGCACTTTACCCCAGTAGCCCTGAAGTGTGGGCCCCGTACCCTCTGTACCCAGCGGAGTTAGCGCCTGCTCTGCCTCCTCCTGCTTTCTCCTACCCCGCTTCACTGCATGCCCAGGTAATTTATACCCATCGGCCACGACTTCACTCGCTCCTCCACCGGTCCTCTCCAACCTGGCTCCCCAGAGCACACCGTACAACTAACACCTAGCCAGCTAACAGATCCACCCTCGAGAGATTAATGATCCCCTCTAAATCAAGCTGACACTCCTCCAGAACTTAGGAGGACTGTCTGACAGCAATGATGTCACCCACTGCCTGATGTTTGCCCCAAACGACACCTCTCTCTTCCTGAATGATCTCACCCTCATATCACACACGAGAAACTGGACCCAGGTTACCCCCCCAGCTCCTAGCCAGCTAGAGGGTGTCACCAGAGCATAGACTTGTGTGCCTTGTCGTGTGGAAGGGCTGCAGAGGGAGGCGTGCTCTTGTCACAGGAGTTACGTGTCTGTGTGTGCTTCTGTGTATTGAGAGATTTCTGCTCCTGTGTTCTGTGAGATCTAGTGACCAAAGAGGAAAGTTGGGAGCTTCCAGGAGGACCACTATGTGCTAGCTTACATATGTTACAGAAAAGATAAGGGTTCCTTTTTTCCATTTTTAGGAAACGCTGTGGAAAAGGAGGTACAGTGTAGTGTCTAGTATGTAATTACAGCTCAAGGTAGAGGTCTCTGTTCTGACCAGCTTTCTTGCTTAGTTAAGAACAGCCTGAGTCTTATAAACAAACTCCTGTGTTTCTTCGCAAAGATTACTGTCTACATAGCAACCCCCTCTCTCCCCATGGGAAAAATGTTTCTCTTAGCTTTGCTTTTAGTGCAAGTAGTAGTAATCAGTGTTAGAATTCAGAATGATGATTGAGAGCAAATAAGATAGAAAAAGTATAGATTCCATTTGTCTTACTGCATGTGTAACTCCTCTAAAAGCAGGAAAGCCTGGTTTTTAAAAAATTGTTGACCTGGACAGGTGGGATTTTCGTTTGTTTGTTTTGCTTAGTTGTTATTTACAAGGCTGGATGAAATAAACAACTTTCCAGAAAACTCTTCCTTCTGACTTAAAACTCTTTTATGTTGTACAGAACTTACTGTGTTGTATAAGACACCTACAAGCAGCCCCCAGTGAGGGTTCTCACAGGCCATGGGGTCAGGAGTGTTGCTGGCTAAACATCTTTCCCTTCTCTTTCAGCTGAGTTATCAGTGCTTCCTGAGTGCATTGATGACCCAGCTTCCCGGGCACCATGCAGGCAAACCACAACGAGAAAGTGATTTGGTGCCTGGGCCCCAGAAGTGATTACCCTCTGTGTTGGGAGAAGGAGAGAGAAAGTAGTAAAAGTAGTGAAGAAAAACGTAGATGGCGGTGGTGAGAGTACTTGTCACAGAAAATAATTTAAAGTAGCAGGATTATTCTGAGACTGATTGCCGAATTTCCAGATTAGCTGTGCTTTTTGCTGTTCCTTCCTCTGCTGCTTTTTCCACCTTTGTCCATGTCAGTGTTTGGTCACCCTCACAACAGCAGGTAGCAGGGAAGGGAGAAGGGATAAAACGTAAACCATCTTCTGCTGAGTCGTCAGGATGTTTGTAGTGGCCTCGAAGATAACTTTGTAGATGACGTGGAGCAACTCAAAGAGCCCCTCCATTGGTGGGCCCACCCCCGCCATCTGTGGATATGTCTCCCATCCTCTTCTTCCTCTTCCTAGACTGCCTAGATACCGTTGACATTTGAGGCAAATGTTAATAAGACCATGAATCAGTGCCAAGTTTGCATAGTCTTCTGAATATCCATGGCTTTGGTTAATCGGCAACAAAGCCTTTCACCATTACCCTGGAAAAGCAAGAATTGACAGTGGCCAGAAAGGACTGGAATAGTGGCTTTTGGCCATGACATCTGGATAATTTGCCCTTGCTTCATTCATATAACAGATGAAATCAAAAGTAATTCTGGGGATACAGTGGGAGAAGGAGCTAAAGAGTCTTGAGAGATTAGAAAGCCCGTGCCATTGTGAGAAAAATGGGGGAGAGACAGTGCCGAGATTAGGGGGACTCAACCATTTGACTTAATGGGATGTATTGCCTATGGTAGCCACTCCCTTTTGAGTTCTTGCTTGATCTTGAGACTTTCCCAGCCTGGAATCCACTTGACTCCGCTACATCGGTCCTAGAGTTGGTGGAACTCGCATCTGATCTCAGTGAGATCCTTGTGCTCAACCCCACTTCTTGTTTGGAGTCATTCCCGGTGCAAGCTTGGGTTCTGTATCCTAAAGACTCATGAATAAATATGGTTATTTAAATTTCTTTGTCCAATATGAGAATCATAGAATGAATTGGTAGAGGCTTTACAGATCAACTGGTCTGACCCATTTTACAGATGAGGAAACAGACCGGAGAAGATGGAGAGAGTTACCCAAAGTCGCAAGTGGCTCTGCCATGACTAGAGCCAGGTCACCTGTCTCCTGGGCCTTGCTCTTTCTACACCTCAGTCCTGGCTCACCAAAGACTTACTCTTTGATGGAATTTTGGAAAGGCCTTACTCCAATGATTCCTTGGATCTTTCTTCTTTAAGTAGATGAGAAGCCTGTAAGAAGAGACTTGGAGGCAAAGACAAGGGAATCAGAACTTAACCTTCACCCAAAGGGCTTAAGAATTTTTATTAACTGGAGGTAGAGCAGAGGGGAAGACCAAAATGGAGCATCCTCTTAGTGGATAAATTGGTTTTTGTTTTGGAAATCTTATTATATGTCTTTGGAGAGGCTTTTGAATAATTTTGCTTTTCTTAGCTCTGTTGTGCTCTGTTTTGAGACATGGATTTTTTTTTTCTTCTAGTGTTTCTCTCCTGAGGCAAAGCCCAACACACCTGTCTTTTGTCCACTTCTCCAGCAAATTAGATTTGTCTCTGGGAATGTGTTTGTAACATATCAACCTACTGCAGACCAGCAAAGGGAGCTCCCTTGTTGAATTTGCTTGTTAGCTATTTTCCCCCCTTTTGCAAAAACTATTTCTTGGCAACATTTGAGAGATTTCAATAAAAATTTGAATCAGAGAAAAAATTATCTCAAGTAGACTGCAGCGTCTTGTTTTCATGGTGATGCGATTTTGGAGCTAAGATGTTATCTCTGACTGAGATTTTGGGAGAGTTGGGCCCATGACACTAAGTATACATTATATGGGAGAAAGACTCAGAGTATCCTGGGAGACTTGGCCCAGAGCTGGGCCTAACTGCTGCTGCTTGTGTCTTCGTGGGCTCCCGGACCACCAAGAGCTGCATATTGGAAGATTCTCATTCTGGCATCCATGAGTCTCATCGACCGGGAGATCTCGCTTCAGCAGGGATGGTGTGTCTAGCTAGTGGAAGCCTGTTTGACACAAATGGAAGCATTTTCCAGTCTGTCCACCCTGGTCCAGAGGAAGGAGGACCAAGGAGACTGAAATTGTCATTGAAAAGGCGTTGAATCACATCTAGTTCTGCCCCAGCTTCAGTCTGTGGTCTGGTGCCTCCATCTCTAAATTGAAAACGCTTATTTGACATCAGATCGCACTTTTTAAGAATTATTGGATAAGATAATAGGACTGTAAGCCTCAGTACTGCCTGATTATTTTTAGAGGTGAAAGAACAACTTGGTACAGCAAACATCTGATTTCTAAGAAGATCATTAACATTTTTAGAAGTGATCATCCTGTTTACTTTCAAGGTCATTGGTAATTGAAATTTATTAAATATATTATGCAAGTCAACTATGAACAGGAGAGGAAGGTTTCATCCATGGCTCTTAGAAAAGTTATACTCTGAAGAGAACATACAGCTGTTCCTGTCACCTTGTATTCACACATCTCAGCTTTTTAAGTCTGGGTTCATTTTTGCTTTTAGTCTTGTTGCTGATGGGGCAGAGAGGAAGTCATTCAAGTGCACTGTCCTCACTACATTCTAGAAACAGAACACCGTTTCCCTTTGATCAGAGTCATATTGTTGGGCCAGAAACTTTTGCAGGTAAGTGGGACTGAGAGCAAGTCCTGGTACCTGTTTCTTCTTCAGAGGCCTCATTTGCCCTGAGTAACAGCAGATCTTCCTGCAGGGCTGCTCTACAGCCGATGACTGGAACACATCACCTGCACATAAACAACAGGTTTTAAAATCATAACACTGACTTCCCTGAGGCAAGACATGCCCTCGGGAGGTCCCTCGTGACACACTGGAAAAATTTTTAAAGTTAAACCCAAAATAAATATAAGAATGGGCCGTGGGAAAAGGGACCTAGGCAAACAGGGAAGGGCGGTCACAGGCAGAGAGACGGGCCTAGGAATGGTGTGTGGGTGGCCGAACAGCGGTCCCCCCCGCCCCCCCACACACACCTCATACCCAGGTGTTCACTCAGCAGCTCTGTGCAATTTCTGAGAACTGCATTTTAAAACTTTTCAAAGAACAGATTTCATTACACATTTCCTCTGTCACTAAGTATGCCTTATAGAGAATACTGAGATAAAGAAGACACAAGACAGTCTGGCTTGGCGTGGGATATAGACCATGAGGGAGTGTCTTGAGGGAGGCATAGGCAGGTGTGGGTGAGGACTCAGGTGGGCACATGGCCCCAGGAGGACGGCAGCGATGCGTCCTCCCCGGGCACGTGTTGGGACTCACACAGGAAGGACTCTCTATTTTTCAGCTTCTACCTCTTTCCTGGTCGGAAGGAAGTGGCAGCTGCTGTAGTGGTGGTTGGTCCTATAGTGGTACCTGTGAACAAAACCCGTGGGAGGCGGCCTAGCACCTCATCAGCCGGCCAACCTCCCAGAGGAAAGGGAGCAGTTGGGAGATTTGGTGCGTTTGCTTCTGTGCCTCCCCGGTGGCATCAGCCCTTAACCCCTGATGTCCTCGTCCTTGACGCCTGGCTCTGCCAAAGGTGCATCGTCTTCTGCGACCCCGGGGCTCGTGGCTGTCCGGAACACCACAGCTTTGAAGAACTGCAGAAATTGCCTTTGGGGCTGATCAGCCTAAGGCTTTAAATTGTTTTCAGATATAAATGAAACTATTAATCCTCTGACATTTACCTTTTCCTCTGAACTCAGCTCCATG